TATAAATGGTAAGTAATAGATAAAATACTAAACTCGCTCCCGTGTAAAACCAATTTTATGAAACTTTCGCTCGTCAGATACCACAACTATTCACTCGTTTCATAAAATTAGTATTACACGGGAGCTCGTTTAGTATTCTATATTTATGATAAATCATCATGAAATATAAGCTTATATAGCCAATGTTTTAGGCACGATTACTATTTTCAGTGCTTCCCTGATTTTCACTTCAATCTTTATTTCTGCATTTAAGAGATCAGAGACCTATAGCACATAAACTGTCGGGCAAAAGAAAGGATTAACATGAAAATTGGATTTAACAAACATTACAAACAAGACCATAAAGTTAATGTCCAAAACACAACTATGATATTCGTATCAAATTCATCACCATTGAATAACTATTTCATGTTAGTTTCATTTTAGCCACCGTCAAACAAGGGTATATACTTTTACCCTGCAGTTTAGATATTTTTTTCTTTGTAGTAGTCAAGAATAGATCAGTCTTCCTATCCATCAACCTTACACAATCATTTTCTTACGTTTCCCAATTTCATTTACTATTTTCGTCCAAATTAACACCATGTTATATTATTGCTTGGGAAATCTATACCAATGGTTTGGCTTCACAAACTGCTGGGTAAGCGGAATCTAAACAAACTCTCTCCCTGACAAGCGAGGGCACCAACCAAGCCCCCATAGCTCTTAATCATGGCTGGATCTATCAGTGTGTATGAAATGAAAACAATATCGTGTAATATCTTCTATTAATTTCCCTTGATTGCCTTGTCTAACATAATTTTGTAAGGCATATCGTTGATTCTTCCGCTCATTTTCTCCAGGAATCTCATACATTGGCGATACCTTCCCAGCAACCCGCTTCCTTAGATTACCATTATTAAACAAAGAAAGTGAAAAGTGGCCATTTCATGTCAATAGTCCAAGATCGATAGCGAAGTGGTACGATTGATTTTCACGCCAATGATTCCGGCAAGCCCATCACACCACGGTAAATTGTTTCTTCGTTGAACATTTAGTAACGATTACTTCACAAGTTTAGATTTCTGACAATTTATTTGCAACCAGTTTTATTGCCTTGCCACTTGGAATGAGTATTTTAACGACATATTTCATTTCTATGGTGATTGAGACTATTATATTGTTTCATAAATTGGAGTATTTCGGTTCCATACAGATTGCCAAAACTTGAAATGACTATAATTGGTTCATATAATCGTATTGACAAATCATTTTTTATACGTTCACGTCCTATTTTAAAGGATAACGCGCTTAATCCAGACTCCGTTACTTCTATTTCAATGTGATAACTCATCGCTCTTAATACGGTGTGTGTTATACTGAGCGTATACATCCAACGCTGCCGACGTCATTATTACTAAGTTCTGAAAGGTGCTGAATTAGCCGTGCAAACTTGTGTCCCTTGTTATTGACAGGATCCGCAGATAATGGGTTCGAATTCTCATGTCACTCCGATTTCGATCCTAATTTTGTCAGCATGGTTACAATGTGTGAAGCCTATTTCTATTTTGCTCGTCGTGATATTGCAAACTGCGGCGTAAAACAATACCCACTCACTTAGTTTGTCGGCATTATACACGTTCACATACATTTCACCATACCCGTCAAGATCCGGGGTAGAATAGGTCTTCAGCAACCCATGTGAAAGGCGTCTATGGCGACTAGGCGACTAACGGGATTGGGTGGTCAGGCTCGCTGACTTGGTTGATACATGTCATCGTATCCAATTGCGTGGATCGATGCTCTTGACGTCAATCACTGGATTGTCTAGTCCAGGCTCGATTATTTACAGACCGCCGTCATATAGCTGGAATATTGCTGAGTACGGCGTTAAACAACAAACAAACAAACGAACGAAGGATCAAAAACACTTCACCACAGTGAAGCTGTACCACCTGGGGTTTTCATCCCAATTAGTTGTTAAGAGTTACCTGCAATTGACTAACCCGTGAAGATCCGGGGTAGAGTAGGTCTTCAGCAACCCATGCTTGTCGTAAAAGGCGAATATGCTTGTCGTAAGAGGCGACTAACGGGATTGGGTAGTCAGGCTCGCTGACTTTGTTGATGCATGTCATCGTATCCCAATTGAGTGGATGGATGCTTATAATGTCAGTCACGGGCTTGTATGGCCCAGTCTCGATTATTTACAAACCGCTGTCACATAGTGGAATATTGCTGAGTGCTGCGTTAAACAACATACAAACAAACAAAGCATTTGACAACAACTCTACACCGTCCCTTACTATTTTATTAACTACGTATAACCTGTATCATACAAAGAGGGTATGACATATGACATGATAATCACAACGAGTCATCTAACAAGTTGATATTTTTACAATGCTGACTTTATCAGGTCACGAGATGCGATAAAGTTGTTAAATGACACGAAAAGCCAAATTTATTTTACAAAATTTCTTAATCATGTTAGTTCTTAAGTCACTGTGCCACTGAATATGACTAAAAGTGGTTCCGACACAGTGAAATATCGACGTTATTTTTATCCCACGATACATAGTAAATTTCACTTTTTATAGGCATGTTAATCTCTTCATATTACAAAAAACGGATTCTCATAATATATCAAGTGTATATTTGAATAGAATGACATTTCTGATTGTCCCTATCAAAAGTTTAATATAATATCAATGTCATATACAGTGTTTATGACGTTAAGTAGCCGCCTAGCGGTACATTCCTAAGGCTGACAGTCAGGACGTGTTCTCGACAGAATAATCTCACAGCATTCAGCGTGTATCAGGACATAGGAAGCTGGTGCTGTGACCCTGCCCGCCCCACACACAGAGTGGCGTTGTTATGGTCACACAGATGGTGAGAACTCACGTGCAACGCGCTGCATGACGTAACGTTCACACACAATTACTAAAACCAACAATATTAGCGTGGCTGAAACCGACTTCCGTGGACAGTCTACCTCCATCAATATTAGTTTTTCATTTCCACGTCAACCAGTGAGTAATAACGCTTTACAAAATCTCAAACCCGATAGGAATTTCCATAGCAACTGGTGATTAAAACCAAAGAAATATGTTCCAATCAGAGAAGGAACACAACCAACAAAAGAACATGATCATGGAACATAAGCTTGACAATACCACGTCTGGAAAACGCCAGGTACGATTGAAACCTGAAAAAAAAAATTGACAACTCGTTCTTGCTGGGGGCGAGATTTTTAGCCGCGGATTCAGGTGGAGGGAAGCATCCTACTTTAGAATTTTAGATATGAGATACGCCATGATTGATTTATATTACGCTGGTGGGTCATCAGGAAGTTGTATCAGTGACTGTTTATCCTTTCGCCACCTTCTTGAGTATGAGATCTGCATCTTATCTTTGGTAATTAACCAAGTGATAGCCCACTCATGTTTCGCAAACATGCCGTCTTGTAATAATATGTAACTGTCCTGGTCAGTTTAATAAAGACATAAAACCGTGTTTTGTTGCGTTGATTATAGGTGCAATTCATCCATCAACTAACGCTGAAATAATCTGTAACGCATTAGGGTATCGGATACATTTATGTTATTGCGAAGGTGTTAAATGCACGGATTTGAAACCCGTGAGTCATAACCCGACCGCGTTGCTTCATGGCTGCCGTAACGGCTTCGGTTTATTGTAATTGGGGTTTTATTAACAAGTCTTAAACTGATATGACAAATTTGATATCCTAGTGAACGTCAACACGTCAAGTAACAAGAAATAAATACCACACGCTAACATCTCATGTTTCTTTCATTAAATCTTCTGCCATATTTTTTTTCAATTTACATAACTTTTTTATAATGTTAAGAAATATAAAACATATTGTTATAGAATAAATAATATTTCAAGTGAAAATAAAATACAGTTTCATAACGCGTCTATATCCTGTTATTGTGTATTTTGTGACGTGCCTGCAATCGTGAAAATATTAACTTTATTAGGTCACTCGAAAGATCCTTTACCTAGTCGATTACCGTTAAAAGAAAACATTTGACCCAGTGGCAATGCGTCCCAAGTGAACATGTCGACTAACACCTGGTCATAATTAGTAGATCAAGATAAACAATTAAGCTGTGAAGTTGAATACGCTAACATATCCTTGTTCACCAAAAACTCTGTTTACTACGGCTTTGTAACACGGAGATATTTACGCGAGGTCGCCAAATCTTACATCAACAGTATTACTTCAATAAAATGTCATGGCGTTATTCATTCTCATAAGTTGTCGTGACGGAGAAGCCGATGGAAGGACATTGCCTTCTGATACAGCTACCGTGACCTAGCGTTCTTCGACATGAGTCGTTTTTAAGATGGATTAAATTGATAACTGGAAAAATAGATCGCCGTCGTGTTAAAAATAAATCAAACTCGAGAAACTAATTATTGGATTGTTGTCGTTAAAATCAATATTACACTTGGGTGTTGTGTTCTTTGCGAAAAGCAATATGTTGCGTTAGGGCAGTGTTTGCGTTGCTGATGGAGAGTCAGTTTGAAGGGGGATTAGCGTTAATGCTGCCCCTGTGTGTCGAGGGGTTGCGGTACAAAGTGGTGCAATGGTGCAGGAAACAAATACATAAACACCCACAGGCTGCGACGCCGCCACCGTACACAAAGACTTCAGCAGACACGTTGGCCATTGTAAACACGACTGTGCCATTATGATATTGGGGGTGGGTCTTGGCTTATTGATATATGTAGTTACTTTTTGTATCATTACACAGGGACAACCTTCTGAAGCTGTTTCCAAAAGTCTATATACTGAACACCTGCATAATTCTGCCAAACAGTTCCATGGTGTTCGAGTCTGTTTAGATAGTGAGATAACCGTCGCCCCTGTGAGGAATCGACTCGTCCATCTGGATGCACGTAATGGGAAAGCCCCGGTAATCTGAGTCACAATAAAGTTATCACAAACATTCGTGTGGCGATCTGCTCTCACATGAGATTTACTTTTTCAGTTTCCTGGAAATAAACCACGACTTGAGATGAAACGTTTGTCGTCATCACTTGACTGCAGCCTGCCGCTGAGTGTTCACTAGCGAGAAAGCTCGGACCGGTCGGCTCGCTATACCGCACAGTCACTTCTACAGCCAAGGCTCGCCGCCCTGCCCATAGGTCCGCCCAGCGCATTATACCGAGGAACCCCCTCGCGGGATTCAGGAGCCGTCAAATGTCAGAAAGTGTCGGTGGGTTCTCTCGGGACGCAATTACTTGTGACTGTGCTACCTAAAGTCAGGACAGAGGACAACTAGCTATGAGAGTTATGCAGTGTTTGTGTGATGCGGCTCTCTACCAAGGAATACCTGACTCAAGCTAGGATGGACGTAACAGAGCGTTGACTGTAGGATTAACAATTATCACAGGTTTGTACGCCGATTACTTCACTGATAGCATATCGTCAATGTATTCTTATACACCAGGCCCGTGTGAGGTGAATGGGGGATGTGATATGAAGTCTCATAGCTAAAACGGTACAAAAACACTCGGAATCAAAACTAGAATATTTTAGATAGAATAAATTCAGGAGAGGGCAACGCCGGATCGGACTCCTCCCCACAAATTACTTTTTTTTATTTTTTATCGAGAACATGTAATCCCGACTTAACATATGTTATGTTTGACATATGTTGTATAAGACCACTTTCTAAAAGACCTTATTCAGGGCAATCGAAGTTGGAAGTTGTCACTTCTTGTGAATGAATATATTTTAACCAAAAACTTCGCATATTTAATATAATATTTACAGTTTAAGATAATATTTTACTGATGAAATGTAAAAAGGAAAGCTAAATATATTCTCCTATGTCGTTTTCTCATTTCCCGCTGGGGTATATTGTATACATATGGATAACCCGCCAGGCGGGCTTGTTTCCTGTTAACCGTACAGTGTTGTAGTACAATACACTCATTTGATGCTATCGGTGGTGCAAGTGTAAGATCGCGCTACACAAACACACTGACAGTATCTCCCTGTAATTACCCTCATCAATACACATGTCAAATCAGCTGGCACCTGCAGAAAGACGACCTGTATGTTTGTATATATGGCGGGCGCATGTGGCTGAAGCTGTCGGCATGCGCCAACACATGTACACAAGAGGGCGGCTACAGTCGCCCACAGCAAATTCTTATGTGCCGAGTAGTCCCGTTGGCCTAGACGGACGTTCGCACGTGTTGGTGGTCTAGGTAATTTAGTCTCGGGTAGACACTGATGAATGTACACTCTTGATAGACGTCTACAAATGAATGAAATATCTTTTTGGTTTCATCTGGCACGTAAGTACACTTTTCTTTAAGGATTCGAGAATACAATGTCGTCTTTTAACTTTGGTTTCAATGATGGGAAATATGCGTATATAACGTACTTTGGTTAACACATTATAATTTCTGAAGATTTTGTAATTGTGTGTCACTGGAATAAATTGAACAAGTATGTAAATAGATGTATCTATTCAAATGTATAAGATATATTGAAGGAGTATGCATGGTTTATGCACCAAGCTCATATTCTCAAATTACAGTGGCTGTAGTTTAATCGAGCTGAAATTTCAAAATGAATTATTTTCAGGTTCATGATGTTTGCTATGTAAAGTAGAAATATATTTAAACTTCCACCTTCTCACGTTTCAATGACCACCACTATGGCCAAATGATCTTAGTGGTACGACTCGGACATATGGACACTTAAATACAATATGTTTGTTGACATGACCCGTGAAGATCCGGGCAGGTCTTCAGCGACCCATGCTTGCCGTAAAAGTCGACTATGCTTGTCGTAAAAGGCGACTAACGGATCGGGTGGTCAGACTCGCTGACTTGGTTGATGCATGTCCTTGTATCCCAATTGCGTGGATTGATACTCATGATGTCAATCACCGGATTGTCTGGTCCACGCTCGATTATTTATATACAGTCCGCCGTCATATAGCCGGAATATTGCTGAGTGCGGCGTTAAACAACAAACAAAACGGAACTATATATTCAAGTTATCTGTGACAACAATCTATCTCTCGTATATTTATATATTTCTCTCTCATACACATACATATATGTTGGGCATATGTTGAAACTCAACAGAATATAACTGCCGATTGAGGTGGAGGGGTTAGGGCCGCCCCGGGACTGCTCTCAGAGTGACCACGGGTTGTTTTGTTGTTTGACCATGTCAGGTCCGATCTTGACCTTTGGTCACTGATATGGTGTTTGTTTATGGCCCAGCTGACTGGACACAAGTTAGTAAACAGATTTCCCCAGATCAAATATCGGCCCGGATACGTCGGCAAACAGCCAAAGTGGTTGGTGTTTATACTTCTCAAGTGTTATCAATTTACTGAACTTTCAATAATGGAGGGTAAATTAAAACCACGTAGCTTCTCAGATCGTTTGCATGCGCAAGATTTTTCCAGGTGATGGGTTCTAATTGCCCCCCATAATAGTAAACAGCGTGTCACCCCTTCCGGACGTAGACCGTTCTTACACCGTGTTGTACACTTGCGATTGTTTAACGAGACGCTTGTGTTCGATCCGCGAAACGAGGAAGACAGGAAGCAATTGATTATTGAAAAGATTACGTGGACGGTGCCGGTAGATCACCTTCGTCACGTGGTGCGGCTGCCGCAGTTGTCGCGAGGGATGACTGTAAAACCATCACACATCCATTTAGGAACCGTAAAGCTGCGCGGTAATCAATTGGTAACTGTAGTTATCTGTGTAGTATGTGTAGTTAACTGCTCCCAACTGGACCCCACGACGGGAATCAATTGAAGATTGCAAGCATAATGCCCCCCTCCTGTCTCCTTTACGACATCAATGACCACCTCTTCCCCCACCCCCACCCCCACCCATCCATGACCCCACCGGTCAACATCCACGCTCGTATTTCTTACATTGATGCCAAGTCGCATCGATAATATCCCGACCCCGATCGATAACGTTACACGGCTTACATGATACATGTTAAAAAAATATGCTTTTTTTTACCCCCACCCTCTAAATCGTCCTACCCCACCTTCTCTACAACTGCAGCCCCACCCCCCGTCTTTCTCACCACGATATAACCACCAACGGTCACAGACTATCATCCCTTTCATCCTCAACACGCGCATAATTGACTTATTATTCGGATGAATGCAACACCGTGACAAAACCTCATGCGGAACCACGGGGGATATACTAGTAGGTACAACCATGTCGACACTCCCCCGGGGCCACCCCGCTTCAAGATGACCGCAACCCATCACCCAGCTCCACTGCACATGGCCCGTCAAGCCTGTCGGATGTGATTAATTACCCTTATTAAGCCATAATGCTGATTGTACTTGCCGTGGCCATCCTATTGATGCAGCCAGTGATCTGATCTCCACACTCGCCAGTCTGGTTTTATTAGCCCTCTTGCCCTCCGTCGGTTACGACATCATCTTTGTCCGTCGCCGTCTCCGAAGTGGGGGCATGTCCAGACGTTGAGGTCATCTGTCAGGTCGTCGATCACGCGTATGCCCTGACGGAGCTGACGACGTTACCATCTGTCGTCTGCTCCGGTCGCCATGACACTCCAATATTAAACGGGGCTTTCTGACCGCTAGAAGGCAGCTCCAATGTTTCTTTGAAAATGGCAAATGAGTAAAAGCGTTTAATTTTACCACAAACGACGAAGGGGTGGCATAGTAGCGTTGCACGTCACACCGAATTCGCTGATTCGATTCCTCAAATGGATACGTCATGTCCTTCGATATTGCTGGAATGTTTCTTAAACAACGCTCACTTCCTTCATCCAATACTCTATACAGTGACACCACGCATAAATCAGGTCATCTTAGATTAAAATTACATAATCAACGAGCTCCTTCAAAATTAAATCCGTCCCTGTAGATATGCACTGGAAATAGATCGAAATAAGTAAACGTAACCAAATGTTTGAAGTATGTTTATCTGATATTATACGGTGAGTTATTTGTGTTTGACTTGACATAAAGTGTTCTACAAGGCTGGATGTGCTGGGGGCACCGGGATGGAGATTTTGTTAGTGACAGTCCTGATTCTGTGCAGAGTTAGCAGCTCTGACAGTAATAACACTCGTGTCCTGGCTTGCGAGGATTATTGTAGTGGCGCAAACTGACAGCTGTAGAATTAACTGGGCAGATTGAACTGCGTTATAAACAGTTTGTGACAAGCTCTCAAAATGATTAGAACTGCGATTGCGCTTCTCACCGAGCAGATATAATGATATTCGATGTTTTCCCTCCGCATACATATTATGATCTTTCAGAGCGCTTGTAGGCTGATCTGTAACGATACATAAGAGTCTGACACGCAGGCGATGTAATTAGAACTCGGGAAAGCATTACTGCCAAAAAGCTCTTCTTGGTTTGAGTGTCTTGCGCACATGATCAGGCCACGGTGGCACTAGACTAACGCTTAGTCTCTGAAGATAAATAATTTTGATTGAAACAAGAATTCCATTTAAATTGAAATGGAGCCCCGGTAAGATGGGAGATTCAGAACCTGTGCACACAATTAAGACTTGCTTTATTTAGGGGTATTGCGTTACAGGGCTGGGCGGATGGGAAAATAACATGGGTCAGGGTACAGTGAGACAGACTTACGTTTCTTATCCTTTGTTTGGACAGACAGACAGCTATTTGATATATGTCTCACTGAGTGTACAGCATTATTTAGTACATGGTTAATTAGCCAGATTGATCAGTTGATTGGTGTGAGTCGTGGGGCCGGTCCACAAAGCATTCTTAGCGCTCTGACGATCGTAACTCCCATTCTTTAACATAGACGGTCGTAGCACTAAGATCGCTTTGTGGAACGGAGCCATGGTGTTGATGCTATATGTTGGACCCCGTGACCTTGGCTGTCCGTACCTCCTACTGACCTGGCTATCAGGTAATACCTCGGTAAGATAGGTTTCCTCCCGAGGGTGATAGTGTCATCACAAAGCCTTACATGTTTACACCTTGGAGAACCTCCCAGCCGCTAGGGTGCTGGGTCTAAGGTCTCCCACCAGCTGGCGCCTACCACCCCTCCCAACATTCCGTTCCTTATCGCCGATATATCTCTGTCATAATACACCAAGCTGAGCCTCAACAGCAAGTCCTCTGCCAGACCCCCCCCCCCCCCCCCCCTTCTCTCTCTCGCTCACCCCCGCTTCCATCATTACCACTGTTTCAGATACACATATCTCTTACCCCATCCGACCCATTCTAAAACGGTGCTGCTGTTCACGAAATGTGATTCCTCTCGTCTCCCTACGCGCCCTTCCCCACAAGACACCGCATCCACGTCAGTAAACAACCCCACCCCACCCCACCCCACCCCACCCCACCCAACCTCTTCTCTTGCATGACCCTAACCCATCACACCCCCCCCCCCCCCCCCCCCCCCGGATAGGATACCCTAGTCTGTAATACAGAACCTGAAAAAAATATATCCAATACAGCCTTCGCAAGTCTATAATGTTTGGCAAGTCTAGATTACTGCGGTATCAGGAAATGAAGAGAGTCTCCTGGCTCTTTTTTTTTAATTATATTTCAAAACTTTAATTTAACCATTTTTATCAGTAAAATCTGTTCATTTCAGAGACTAGAAGTTAGTCTAAGGAAACCCACCGCAGACCCACTGTCAGGAAACACACTCACCCCTTTAACAGACATACTGTACATTAACCCTCCTCTTTAATCACCCGTGCCACCCCAAACCCTGCACCGGATAGACCACCCCCTCAGTACCACCGTACATAACACCCTTCATCAGCCGCTGAACAAAACTCTTTCCCCCCCCCCCCCCCCCCCCCCCCCCCCCCCCCCCCCCTGTAAATGTACACCCTCCCTCCCGTCCGTTCCTTATCTGTGTGTCAGCACCGACCCAACTGTAGGATACCACATCATGTAAACACCTCGAATCCGGAATAATTACCCCTGGGCTGTTGGCTGCATTCAAGATGGAGGGGGGTGGCGGGGAGGGGCAGGGGGATGAGGGCCGAGTGAAAGTGACGCAGACCAGAACTCGCCGTGTAGATAAGTTGTAGACAGGCAAGTTACACCACGTGGTCACTTCTGGCGCAATCACTGTGAACTGCCTTTCGCCTGGCGAACACCGTCTTCTGCACCAGACGCTCAGCTTAAAATAATATTTTCTACGCTAGCAGACTGTTTTCCTTATCAGACTACAATAATACAGTGCCCCTCCATTGATTTTGCATGTGGAAAATTAGATCCGGCAATGAAAGTTTTATGTTCGCAGCTCCGACTAAATCAAACTATTTCAGACGCAAACTGAGCCGTGCCTTTCTTCAGTCTCTGGTTTCTATGTGGTCACGATCGCATAAACTGTAGATCGTCGTGCTTCTGTATATAGAACACGGGAATAAAAAGTCTTAATTTGCTAAAAGGACGGAAAAACTTCAAAACACAATTGCTATCCTTTTTCTCATTCATGTCACGAAATCGGCTGGAGTATATACCAATAGAGGTTTACTGTCTCACCGCAGCTCTAGACGACCGCTTACCAGCCACGTAACAAAACAGGAATCAAATGATGTAATGCTGTTGGACTTTTCTCGTTTTATGTAAGCTCATGTTATTCATCGACCTCGATAGGAAGATAACATGTCGGTAAACCGTGAGTGATTAGGAATGTTTTGTGCTTAGATAGCCAACTCCAGAGCGGCAGGAAGCTGGTGGTTGATGACAGCGATGCGTGTCAAGGGAGCATGGCTCTCCCCACAACGTATTCCGCTCTGTGCGGGCATGTCCCAGTGCCACGAATGTTCAGTGTTTGGTGCAGGGTAGTTGACATATACCAACGTTGGAGTGAAAGAAGGATGTGTGTGTAGGGTAGGTGGGGTGGTGGGGGTGACCTCGTAAAGTGATTATGTCGTTCATAGATATAGTTGGTGTATGGTATTAACATATATTAATGCGGTTCAAGTCTTAAGACCGCGTGATGGCGTTTTGGCAGTTTGGCTTCCATGGATAGATGGATGGATGGATGGATGGATGATGGATAGATAGATAGATAGATAGATAGCACAAAACATTTCTTAACTTTCACGGTTTACCATCCTACCACTCACGGATCCACTGTCATGAAAAAAACACACTCGATCTCCCGACCCCTCTAACAGACATACCGTACATTAAGCCTCTTACATGACCACACCCCAAACCCTACCCTGGATAGACCACCCCTCCTCTCACTGACTTCATGAGCTGGAGTTAAACTAATCGACCTACAACCAAGACGGATGTGTAACACAGTTATAAGTGGCACTTCATCTGGCCATGTATGAAATATGTATGTAGTTGTCTTGCCGGACTTCCAAATGAAGGCACAGCTGCTATTTGAATGTCATCGGCTGCCTGATGGATAGACCACCAGTGTATATATTGCGTTAGCGCACAGACACGACAAACGTTTTTTTAAATAGTTAATACACTTGCTCAATTTCATCCGTATACTGTTTCTGGAGTAAGTGATTGGATGTGGCGGCGGTGGGGAAGCGGGGTGCTGTGACAACAGAGGCAGTTTTTTAAAGGCTCGTGGAGACCCGCTATCGCATTGACTGGAACAAATATTTGTTTAATTATTATTTACTATAAAGCCTAAAGCTTAGGCAAGTCTAGACAACCTAAAGCAAGTCTAGTTTCAATGATTAAAAAGCAGAGGAGGAAAAGTTCTATTGAAAAAAATAACTTACAATTATTTTAAAGCAATGTTTTCACATACTAAGAGACCTGCTACAATAGAGTGTGTGGGATCTTGGTTTAACGCCGCTTTGAACAGTATATAAGTTATATCACGGCGTGTCAGCTGAATGTGGAAGGAATTAGCTACGCAAGTCTAAACGTTTTCCACATTGGTGAAACCCACGAGCAAGGGCATGGTGCCGACAGTGCTGAAACCACATGAGGGAGAAACTGGGATTCGAACTCAGGACAACCTTAATAGAGACAGTTACATTGATAAAACTCTTGAATGTCACTATTAGCGATGGTTGTTAGTTGGTAGCCACTTCTAGCAAGTTTCTTTCACAGTTATTTTACACACAATAAATAGACATTGACTAAGATATATGGCTTAAGATATTTGTCAGGTTCTGTGAATAGACGTGTTTGCTATCTCTGAACAAGTAGGTGAGAGACAAACTCAAAAAGGATTTTTTTTTCTGTTTTTGCGCAATCATCTATGAGCTCATGGCATTACGGAAACATGACCAATAATGTTGTATGCACTTGCGCATGCCAAGCGTCTGATGTGCGCTGAAGTAGCCGCTTTGCACCAAATAAAGATGTTTGAGCATCAAGAAATAAACAGAGCTTCCAATATTAGCAGCGCAGTCGCAGCGAAATGGGATTAAACACATTGGCGTTAGCTCGTGACGGGCTCTGGTCCATGTATAACACAGAAGGGTGCGGGGGAGCGACGGAACGCCATTTGTGTAAAATACTGGGATGTTTAACCTGCTTGTGAGGCGATTAAAGTAAAACGGTCGTTTCCGGACAGGACATATGGCTGTCAACGATGTAAGAATGAAGTGTGTTTGAGTGATGTATATTTAAGTGTGTCTGACTTCGGGAGGAGTAGAATTCCGGTTGCAAGTCAATCTCTCAAAGTCGCAATTTGGGTTTTATTTTCAGAAAGGTCACTGAACATTATTTTTGATTTGAAAAGTGACAATAATGTTTATTGGTTGGTCACAATGGCGTATGTGTATGGATGTTTTTCGAACGCGAACCTTCACCAGTGGCCCAGCTGGTTGTGTGTCATCGTGCCTTTCTCGGATTAATGGCCACATGGTATAATATTGGTTTCCTTGGTAACGGTGGGGATTCCGGAATAGATTCCCCATTAAACCCATGTTTGTCGTAATAGGCGTCCGGTGGATCGGATGGTCAGTGACTTGGTTGATTTCGTGTCATCGTACCCCGTCAGCGTGGGAGGTGACAAATAATATCAGTCTGCCTCGATTATTCATTTACAGGCCGCCGTAATGTATTTCAAATATTGCTGAGGTGTCAAAGAATAATCAATACAAAACAAAGACTTTGTGAAGGTTGGGTAGCAATATGTCATAGCTCTTGACTCATGAGCCAATGTTTCAATGTTAATACTCTCTCTCTCTCTCTCTCTCTCTCTCTCTCTCTCTCACTCTCTCTCTCTCTCTCTCTCACACACACACACACACACACACTCTCTCTCTCTCTCTCTCTCTCTCTCTCTATTTGAAAGTACAGAGGTAACACCGATACCGTCAGTATGACTGACATCACTAACATCACTAACAGTGTCTTGACTATAGTATTATATATGTAATACCTAATCATGTAATACCTAATTACCGTATTCTCTTCTCTGTTGCAGGATGCCTCTTCCACCGCTGTTCCTGACGCTGCAGGGTGTGATGCTGTTTGCGGGGGTAGGAGCATCCCCCACGGTGCCAAGCCCCACCCCCGGGGAATACAGCTGCCCTGGTCGCCCTTGTGACTGTATTTGGCTGAAGGAGACAGGGGAGGTGTTCCTGGACTGTTCGTGGTCTTCTCTGCCCAACAAGGAATACTTTGCAACCATCCCGAAGAAGAAGACCGTGTATTTGACTCTAACCTGTGCAGTGCCCGGTCGTAGTCCCCTATGGAACTATATGTTTAGCCAACTGACCGAACTCAAACAACTAATCATTAAAAACTGCGGCTTCACCGACATCCCTCCCTACGTGTTCTCAGGCTTGACCTCTCTCCAGGAGCTGCACATAGAGGGCGCTACGCTCACCAACATCCACCCACGCTTCCTGGATTCTGTGGTCAGTCTCCGAGGTCTTCACATCATCGACAGCAACCTGAGCCACATGCCCTCCATCTGCCATCTCAACCACATCCACAAGGTCAACATCTCCAACAATGCTGTTTCAACTCTGGACCACGCTGGTATCCTCTGTGGGGGCAATGAACTGCAGTCGCTGGAGATCCTAGATGTCAGTCACAACATGATCACAACCATCCCGCTCATGCTAGGATACTCACTTCCCAACCTAAAGCGACTCACAGCATCAGACAACTTCATCAAGAAGATCGAGACAGATTCCTTGAACCGTCTCTCAGATCTCATCTGGCTTGATCTGACCAACAACTCTTTGACAGAGGTTGCTCCTGATTTTGTCAAGAACTGTACGGAGCTGTTAGTGTTTGGCTTGTCTTTCAACCCACTGCATGGGGTTCCTAAAGGCCTCCTTTCTGGTATGTCCAACATCATACAGGTCAATATGGACTACGTCAATGTTAATGATAGTGTATGGGAAGAGATAGCACGCCTACCTTCTCTCGACACTCTCTCCCTGGCTGGGAACAGACTGACGCGCGTTGACCCAGACACATTGGCTGAATTGCCAGTGTTATCGTACCTAAACGTGTCCCACAACGGCATAGACAAGCTGTTCAGGAACACATTCAAGAAGCAACAGAGACTGTTCATATTGGACGTGTCGTATAATAACCTCACCACTATTCCCCGTCAGGCCTTCCGGAACCTGTTCAGTCTGAAGTCTCTGGACATATCACACAACAAGCTTCAGTCGGTGGGGAGGGAGGCTTTCCCTGGTCTGTTGAACCTGAAGCAGCTCGATCTGAGCTACAACCGCCTGGACGGACTTCCCCGGGGTCTTCTGTCGGATATGCAGGCCCTCCTAAAACTCAATCTCTCCCACAACAGCCTCAGCAAGCTGCCCAACCTAGAACACGCGGACTCGCTGGAATACCTGGATCTCAGTTTCAATGAGCTCACTGTTCTTAACGCCACCACCTTCAAGACACTGACCTACCTACGAGGGCTGAGCCTCAAGGCTAATCAGCTTCACACTCTGCCTGCATATGTCTTCGAGGACGCGGTGAACCTTGAACTGCTGAACATGGCCAACAACCAACTGAGCAACCTGACCGAGGACATGTTCCGGGGTCTGTCCTCTCTGTATTATCTCAACCTCAACAAAAACAAGCTGTCGGGGACGACGGGAGCGTTCCGGGAACTTCAGGATCTCCAACACCTCCATCTCCGAGGCAACCAGCTAGAGGAGATCTACAGGGGTCAGTTTCCGGACTCTCTAGAAATCTTGGATCTCAGTCAGAACCGTTTGAACTATATCTCCCACTCCACGTTCAGGACGATGTTATATCTCAAGGAGGTGAAGCTAACCGAGAACAACCTAACATCCCTCCCCTCCATCTCAGTGGAACTGCCCAGAGACATGAAACCCACGGCTAAGATGTACATCAGTAACAACCCATTCCAGTGTGACTGTGAACTTGGATGGTTGAAGGACCTCAATGAGGGCTTACTCACAAGTTATGGAGCGTCACTGCCAATGTTCCCAGACTATTACAATACAAGGTGCATGAGCGTGTATGACAGAATCCCTAGGACCATACCATCAGTCCCGAGGTCCCATTTCTTGTGTGAATATGCTGTCAAGTGTGCCAAAAAGTGTCAGTGTTGTGGGTTCGACGCTTGTTACTGTAAGTACGTGTGTCCCAACAAGTGTAAATGTGTTATCGGAGACTCGCACTTCCCAGTCCACCGTATGCACTGTGAAGCCCAGAACTTGACCACCATCCCACCACACCTCCCAACTGGAACTACGGAGCTCCTGCTGGACCAAAACAACATCCGGACGGTGCAACAACACATCTTCCTGGGCCTGTCCAATGTCCTGGTGCTGCATCTCAACCACAGCAACATCCATCACATCGAGTCCAGAGCTTTCATCGGTCTTAAGTCTCTGCAGATTCTGTATCTTAATGATAACTATCTGACAGTTATTGGTTCAGATGTATTCACCGGCTTAACAAACCTGACGTATTTGCATATGGAGAACAACAGACTATCATGGGTAGAAAGCGGCTCCCTCAGCTTAGTGCCTAATCTGCTCTATCTAAACCTACAGTACAATGACTTCGAGAATATTAGCATCAGCGAAATCTCGCCACTCATGAACCATTCCAGAGTAGCTTTAGCCTTCAACCCGTGGTCATGCCAACAAGACTTCATCTGTGCGTTCAGAAAGATGCTCATAGGTCACGGTCGATCTGTGCTGGACGCTGTACACATCCGATGTATGCTGGAGGGGGACCCGCTCGCCCCGGGGGAGAGTGCTACGGTGGCGTTCCTGGAATACTCTGAACAGTCGCTGTGTGAGGCTAACAGTACGTTCTTCATCAACGTGTCCTTTGACAGTGTCGTGAAAGTAGGGGACACTACCCAGCTGACACTGTTGGTAGCAGTCAGTGCAGCAGTGGCCGTAGTGGCGATTCTAGTGCTCCTGCTCATTGCCAAGAAGGACCTGCTGCAGGTTTGGTGTTACTCTAGGTTCGGGTGGAGGCTGTTTTCTAAGGACCCAACGGCAAATGACACCACCAGGTACTACGACGCCTTTGTGTCTTGTAGTGATAAAGACGAACATTTCATCATTCATGAACTAACTCCCAAATTAGAAAATGGGGATAAAAAATTTAAACTGTGTTTACATTTCCGGGATTTCCCAGTTGGGGCTTCAATAGCCGAGACAATTGTTCGAAGTGTGCAGAGTAGTAAAAGGACTATTGTTGTGCTGTCTGACAGCTTCCTGGACGACGAATGGTGCCGCTTTAGTTTCACTACGGCTCATCAGCAGGTGCTGTCCGAGATGAAGAACAGACTCATCGTCATCGTCATGCACGACATCGACGAGCGGAGACTCGACCCGCAGATAAAACTTTATATGAAAACTCGGACATATTTAGAATATAAAGATCCATGGTTCTGGGAAAAATTGACGTATGCTTTGCCTGATGTGCAGGACCGATACGTGGATATGAAGGGGGCGTACGCTGTGCAGAATGTCATCAGGCATCCTGGAGACGCCTTGCCCGGCGTCTACAACAACGGTCGCATCAGCGTCATTTCTGAGAACGTAGTCAACGACCTGTACGAGGTCCCTGTGTCGTCGGTGGTGTACCAGAGTGTAGGGAGCGCTAACCACACAGACTCATCGAACTATAATGGCTCCTACTATAACTCATCCGGGCACTACGAGGAGGTGGAGCCCCTCCCTTATAGACCACGTGACGCACAGGTGGCGCCACCCTTGCCCAAACCAAGAAACCAACAAGAATTCTATGGAGCCTGTTACTACGACAGGGCGTAGAATTCCCGAATGTAACCGATGTAGACAACTACGTATTGTGTCCAGTGCACGACGCTTTTGTGGCTGTCAATGAAATGTGTGAATTCAAAACGCTTCCAAGATCCATTTTTTACTTAGTATTATGAGTTTCCATGGTTACGTGATAAACATGTGTGCCAAAACTATGACCACTAACCACCACTGCAGACAATACTCCTTGTATTATTTCATTGTGATCAGTTTGCTTTTCTTCAGTTCCAAATGCAATATGTCCAGTATTAAAACTAAATCAGTGACCCAATGCTGCCCTCGACACCCCCGGACTGGGATTACCTTGAGGAACATATACTCCCATTGAAGGTCAGGACAGGATGGAATGACGCTTTGATAGGAAAATGAACGTTGTTTTTTTTTACGAATTGGCTTCATCTGATTTTGTGATTTGTATTATAGAAGTAAATATATTAATATTTATTTCGGGGAGAGTTGTTAGTCAATGCGAAATCTTGCCTTGTCGGAGAACAATTATGGGAAGGATCCTTAATACTGTAACCAATTGAAAACAGTGTCTATGAAAACAGTGTCCTTTGACTTTGACCTCAGTAATCTAACGTTCTCGTTTTCTGACAACACGTTGCGTTTCTTTTGCAGTACAGTATAATGACTTGACTGTCACCATCGGGGTACGAGTTATGTAACTTTCTGCAATATTTTTTATTATATATAACTTGGGTTTGAAGCTGCGCCAGATCCATATATCTTGTTGTTATTATTATTGTTATTTAAATAAAGTAATGTCAGTGTTGATTTGTGATTGGTTGTGTGTTTCGGAACAAAATCGATGCTAATCAGCGATGTGATTTTTAGCTTTCGGGGAATAATTGCTTTAAAAAGCCACAATCACGCAGATTCATGTGCATTTCCATACCGGATCAATCGTTGACAACAATTTCGCATGCCTTCAGCTTACTCACGTGACAAATCGCGGAGGTGAAACGCTGGGGCAAGATGGCAGCCAGCGTTATGGCGGTACTGATTACAGACCCACACTCTGGGATTCCGTACCCATTCATTATAAAGGGGCTGTGCAATATCGGAGACTAAAAATACATGGAACAAATTCTATGTAAATTTCTAATTGGATTTTTGCGTGAATGCGTGAAAATGAGGATGTATGATTCAATTGAAACGTATTCTACAAATTATTATGGATTTTATGGATGGGTTGAAAGCCTCGGCTGTGTGATTTACCGTTTACATTTGATAAAAACGCTGTCGCTGGAAAATGGGAATCGTGTGTGGGTAATGCTTGCTGTCATGTTTGGGAAAATCCAAAAGAACATGAAACAGACTAAAAAATATATTTTTATTTTCTGGTCTCTGATGAAAGACAACTGTGGGAAATTAACTGATGCGATTCTTCTATAGACACTGACCGACGGTGACCGATAGTGGCCTCTTGGTGACCTGCCCACACCCTCTGTTTACATACATACATAGAGATTATTATACGAGCATGTGTGATACTGCTTTTACGAAAGTGTCTGAATTCTTGTATTTCGCGAGCGGGACCGAGGATACTACATGAATACTTACGCGTTGGTTTCAGAACGTGGGCCGGGTTGTAATACAGGGTTGTAACACAGGGTTATAACACAGGGTTGTAATGCAGGGTTGTAACACATGGTTGTAATGCAGGGTTATAACACAGGGTTGTAATACAGGGTTGTAACACAGGGTTGTTATGCAGGGTTGTAACACAGGGTTGTAATGCAGGGTTGTAACACAGGGTTGTAACACAGGGTTGTAACACAGGGTTGTAACACAGGGTTGTAATACAGGATTGTAATGCAGAGTTGTAACACAGAGTTGTAATACAGGGTTGTAACACAGGGTTGTAACACAGGGTTGTAATACAGGGTTGTAACACAGGGTTGTAATACAGGGTTGTAACACAGGGTTGTATGCAGGGTTGTAACACAGGGTTGTAACACAGGGTTGTAATACAGGGTTGTAACACAGGGTTGTAACACAGGGTTGTAACACAGTGTTGTAACACAGGGTTGTAATACAGGGTTGTAACACAGGGTTGTAACACAGGGTTGTAACACAGGGTTGTAACACATAGTTATAACACAGAGTTGTAACACAGAGTTGTAACACAGGGTTGTAACACAGGGTTGTAACACAGGGTTGTAACACAGAGTTGTAACACAGGGTTGTAACACAGAGTTGTAACACAGGGTTGTAACACAGGGTTGTAACAGAGTTGTAACACAGGGTTGTAACACAGGGTTGTAACACAGAGTTGTAACACAGGGTTGTAAGACAGGGTTGTAACACAGGGTTGTAACACAGGGTTGTAAGACAGGGTTGTTACACAAGGTTGTAAGACAAGGTTGTAGAACTTGGGGTGCGATCGCGTTGCGATGCTTGATTTTAAAGCAAGCCTAGGTAGTGTTCCATATTTACCATTAATAATAGGTACATAGAGCGACAAACCCGTTCCATGATCATAAGAAACCTCTCTAAAGGGTGACTCCATGGTACTATTTCGACTATATTATGAGGATGTTGGATGAGGCATCACAATCAAATAGTGATGATACCAGGTGCCCCCTCCCTCCCGTGACACCCTTTTTGCAACACATGCAAAGGCAAAGCAATGACCTGAAAATTCAAAGGAACATGTTGGGAATAGGTAATTGGAGCTGACATCATTTGTGTCACCGATGCGTCATATTTGGAAATGCCTTTCCACTGTCTACCATAAAACGTTTTTAAACGTTTCAAAACGTTTGGTAGCTTTGCTAAGGCCTTGCATGCCGTAACCCTGATCAAACCACTCTTGAGCAAGAGTACACGAATTTTTTTTAAATCTAAGTAAAAAGTGCAATGTTCGATTGTACCTCAAACGTTGTGAAATGTAGACACCAAAGGCTGTCCAAAGATATTCTGTGGATACCGTTTTGTCTCTCTGAACCTTTACGTACAGATCTAAAAAACATGAAACGGATGAGGTCGTGTTAGTTTCACTGTCTTGTTCTATTATCAGCTCCGGTGTGTAAGTCTGTGGAAGGACATTGGCTATTGGTCTATAAGTGAAAAGGCTTTTACAGAATGAACTTTAAAAGTGAAGAAATAAGACAGGACTCACAGATAATAAGTGTGTAGTTTAAGGCTGCTTTTAAACAGTACGCGGCGTGTCATCTTGATCATGATGTGAGTGAGTATGGTTTTACGCCGCTTTTAGCAACATCACGGCGGGGCGAACCAGAAATGGGTGCTGGATAATGGAGGAAGCCCGAATTGATGCAAATCTAGGGCGACTCGGTGAAATCCAACAACGGTTCGTGGTTCGGATAAATATATCAGAGAATAAAGTGAGTGAATATGGTTTTACGCCGCTTTTAGCAATATTCCAGCAATATCACGGCGAGGGACATTAGAAATGGGCTTCACACATTGTTTCCATGTCGGGAATCAAACCCGGGTATTCAGCGTGACGAGCGAACGCTTTAACCACAAGGCTACCCGACCGCCCCCAGAGAATAAAGCATTCATGAACGTATGTTAGTCTGAACAAATATAGACATATAGAAACATGTACTTCAAATCCAAAATGTTAAACTGAACTATTGAAACTAATCTAATCAACAACGCTACGACGACACTACGAACATTACAATGAGGCATTAGACCTTTATTCCTTGATTCAAGCGTTCGATGACAGCGAGAAAAGGCAACGGTGCCTATTATTCCAAACTGGGCTATTACCATTTTGAATTAGATTAGTATTCCTGTCCTTTCGACTTCTTTACTAAACAGCTGGACAAAAAGCAACCATGAACCGTTTGTTCCCCCAAACATCCACCCCTATCCCGGCAAGGCGACGGCTCCCCCGAGCTTTATCTGTGTTGACATGGAAAACTGCCATTTATCATTGCTTGGAGACATTGGTGGCACAATATGGCGGCATAGCATCATCTCAGCCAATTAAAACGTGGCACCGAGGGCGAGAACAAATGCCTCCCGCTCACGCAAAATATCGCCTTGGTGATTCAACGTTAAAGACACAGTTGACGGCCGTTTGCCGTCCCGCTTTGCTCCATGCGTTAAACTGCTTGCATGGAATCTGCATAATTAGGAGACGGTGATACATCAGGGATGGCGCTCCCCGATTGCAGACAAATGCTTTAATGGTTTAATATCGATGTTTTGATCGCGTGTTTTGCATCTTCAAGGAACAATAGGGCAACTACCGTCATTTCCTAATCGAGTACTTTCCTTAAATACCCTCCATGTTTAAAATATTTCTATTTCAAGATGGCTCAGGGTGAACGTTTTTCTAAGCCTGCTAAATGAGGTTATATAACATCCGAGTCTCTCTTACAGACCACAGAGCATATATTTAATAAAACATTCACCGCTATTCCTCTCTCATCCCGACCGCGGCTCCAGCAGCCTATACTTATCCGCTTTTCATCTGTCATATTAGGTATTTCATGGTTCCTTAATATTCGAATTATTAAGCATTCTTCCATAGACATATTTATATTTAACCTTATATATAATTTTATCTCGGGGCCTATAACAATAATATCGTTGCAATTTGTAATACGATTACAGTAACTAATATCGCTTCTATATATGAGTGGGTGGGTGAGAATGGTTTTACGCTGCTTTTAGCAATATTCAAGCAATATCACGGCCGGGGACACCAGAAATGGTACCCATGTCGGGAATCGAACCCGGGTCTTCGGCGTGACGAGCACTAGGCTACCCGACCGCCCCTTCTATATATCAAGGGGGCGCTTGTTCAAATACACCCGATGTATGCCGATCAGAGGCGGTGGAGGTTTAACGTCGCATTTAAGATTATTGCACTTAACTTTGTGTGTGTGTGTGTGTGTGTGTGTGTGTGTGTGTGTGTGTGTGTGTGTGTGTGTGTGTGTGTGTGTGTGTGTGTGTGTGTGTGTGTGTGCGCGCGTGTGCGTGCGTGCGTGTGTGTGTGTTCCCGGACTTATGCCGCTTTTCTAGTGCTAGCTCACTGAGATACCATGCCGCAGTTTAACATGAATACCCCACTCAGACACAGTATACTGACTCCCGAGCCGACCAGACCTTGTTTTATTCCCTTAATGCCGACCACCAGGCAGGGTAAAAAGTACCATGTTTTAACGTTTATTGGTATGACGCTGCTAGAGGATCCGTTCGTCGTCACTCCGTTGTGTACACTGTACAACTAACGTCCCCCCTGTACGACAATGCCGTCTGTACTAGCCCCTATGCACAAACGTTGTCTCTCCGTGAGGGTCCCGGGTTAGAGTTGGTTCCCACCGACCTGTGTTGGTCGTAATGGATTTTGTGGTCAGGCTCGGTGACCTGGTTGTCATACCCGGCATTGGTCGTTGCTCTCACAATATCAATCAATGGATAGTCTGGTCGATGCGGCGTCAAACAAGCACACAAACACACACACACTTACTCTAATTGACATATGAGAGAGAGAGAGAGAGAGAGAGAGAGAGAGAGAGAGAGAGAGAGAGACACACACACACACACACACACACACACACACACGCACACACACACACACACACACACACACACACACAGAGCGCAAACGGGCGGGGCTAAAACGCCATGATAGTGTGCCGTGAGTGGCATGAGTCTACTTATTAGGATCTGGTGATCATGCTCTATGACCCTGGCTGACTGTACCTCGACGGTGTCAAAACTTGATTATTTACAGGCTGACGTAACCTAGCTGGAATGGGGTGAAACAACAAACATGTGTTTGCC